TCTATTACAAATATTATGTAATAATAAGTCGACACGAAGCTGCAGTATCATAATGATGTTGCAGATAGAAAGTCTGTCTTCTTTTTTCTTTCTTTTCTACTGCTATTAAATTAATCTTTCTTCTCTTTATAAAAGGTTGAGAATTGTATGTAAATAATTTGTTTTTTGTTTTATAGTTATTTAATTATTACACATAATTTAAAGTTGACAAAACATTCGCTGGATTACCAACCATTGTTGTAGGCGCCGTAGCCGTATCCGCCGTAGGCACCGAGACGGTTGTAGCCATAACCAAGTCTGTTGTTTCCATTCCAAGCACCGTTGTAACCGTTCCAGGCGCCGTTGTTACCGTTCCAGGCACCGTTGTTACCGTTCCAGGCACCGTTGTTACCGATCCAGGCACCGTTGTTACCGTTCCAGGCACCGTTATTACCGTTCCAGGCACCGTAGTTACCGTTCCAGGCCCCGTTGTTACCTTTCCAGGCAACATTGTTGTCTATTCTAGAGACATAGGATGTGGCAGGAGCGTGAGCGTATCCACCATATCCAGCTCCATACCCAGCACCATAGCTACCGTAGTTCGCGACTCCGGTATAGAGAGCTCCGGCACTGGCTAGGCCGAAGAAGCAGACTGCGACGGTGAAAATCTGATAGAAAAAAAAAAGTCATTAAATAATGAAAGTAAAGAGTATCTTCTTAGGTCGAATAAGATAATAATACTGTAAAACATCACGATAGAACCCTTAGGGGTTGAGCATTCTTGCGGCGGTAAGACCCGTTATGGAGGATTGGCTCGAGAGGCGTCACGGGACCCTCTCATACCGATTGACGCAGGTGATCACTGGGAAGGGATGTTTCGGAGATCACCTGTTTCTGATCCGCAAGGAGCCAACGCCTGAGTGCCACCACTGCGATGGCCAGACCGTGGACACGGCTCTCCACACGCTGGCAGAGTGCCCGGCGTGGGTTGAGCAGAGGCGAGACCTCGTGGCGGCCATCGGAGTGGGAGTTCTCTCGCTCGATAGCCTGATTGCGGCTATCGTGCGGAGCGAGAGTGCGTGGAACTCTGCCGTCTCCTTCTGCGAGCAAGTTATGCTCGCGAAGGAGACGGCGGAGCGGGACCGGGAGAGGTTTAGAACTCTCCCGGCCCGCCAGGCCCGGGCACGGGCCAGGCAGCGCAGGCGACTCAGGCGCCGGAGGTCGCAGAACGACCTCCGTCCTCCATAAGCGCAGGCCTGGGGGTGACAGGTGAGGCCATCTGTCACCCTAGCAGAAGCAGGCCGGGGTGGCGGCGAGCGCGTTGCGAAGCGCGCTCGCTTCCAGGGAGCACAGGGAACATGGGGTTCCCACACGGGGCGGGGGTCGTCTACTCGTCTGTAGATGACCCGAGGTATGTCGGGGCACCAGGGCCTTCCTTTCTAGGGTATACCTGGTTCCCCGGCTATTAGTACCCGGAGAAGGCGTGCGGTTTTAGTCGGTTCGAGTCCGACATGCCACCGACAGGTGGTATCCGAGGGGATTTCCGCACGGAAAAAAAAAAAAAAAAAAAAAAAAAAAAAAAAAAAAAAAGGGGTTGAGCATTCGCAAAAACTACTTAAGGCTTCAAGAAAAAGCTAGTGAAATTTTGCAAAAAAAAACGGTTACACAAAATTAACAACATTATTCGTATAATTTGTAAAATAACTTTCGCTTACTTTAGCGAACATTTTTTTGGTATATTTCTTCGAGTGCTGAAGAGTTGTGTCTCTGCTTGTATCGTTGAACGCTTTTATATTGAAAACGTAGGCAATTTTTTTTTTCAAGGCTCATGTATATTTGAGGCGTAATAGCGTATATCGGAGCGTGACTAATTTTAACAATCATAATAATAACTTTATTAACAATCTTGTAACTTACATTTTATCTTATTACTGCTAATTACTGTTTAGATTTTATTTTGGTATTGATGTTCATATTAGTTTTATTTTTGTATGTTGTGCTTCATGAAATAAATTATAATATTCTATTCTATTCTTGCTTTCTGGCATAGGCTGCCACAAGTTATTAGGGATTTCCTTTCTAGGGTACACCTGGTTCCCCGGCTACTAGTATCCGAGACGGCGTGCGGTTTTTAGTCACCGGCCACCGGCTGGTGGTATCCGAGGGGATTATTCAAAAAAAGAGGCTGTCACAAGTGTTCTCAACAATGATTTATCTCTTGTTTCCCTGATTGCTTGCCTCTTGATATAATCTTCTCTTTTCATATCGCCGTCATCGCCGCATCTACCGTCGACGAGACCTTGGGCCGCCAGACAGTGGGGACTAGACAGGGAAATTATTGCTCCTTTAAATCTTATTAATTTGATGAAATAATTGGTTTCATTCACAGCTATTTCACATGTGATTGTGAATTTGTCATAGACAAAGATAAATTAATTAAAATCAATCGATTTTTTATCAAAGATTGCGACCACTTTTCTTAGATTTAGACCTTTCGCTAGTCTAATAATAATAATTAAGTAGCAGTGTTTTTGTAAAACAGTGGCATGATATGATTTGTAAATCATTGTATGATTTATCACATGTGGATGTGATTTTATTCGATCCCTAGTGGGGACCTCTGGTGACAGATTGATAGTGTGAATATGGACGACTGTTGAGAAACTACTTTAAAGCTGATTTTCTATTAAGATCTTTGTTAATTTAATTAATATAATCTATGAAACTTAGTGGTTCTACAGTACCAATAATGTTGTGTTGTACCTACATCGTTTAAGTGTTAATTAAATTTAGAAAAAAACCTGCTCTAGTATTATCTTGGAGAAAATCATATGTTTTTCCTTTCTTGTAAAGTAAAATTATAGTGAACGTGGTTCATCAAAGTGATTTTGGGATTAGTATTGGTAGAGGGCTTCTGCATTCAGACTCATAAACTGTCTATTAAGCGTATGAGTGAGCTAGCATAACTCCTTCCAGAGGAACAAAAGCCTTTCTTCTGGAGCGTTCACAGGGTCATATGAGTGATATTGTATCAGGATGGATACTTGCTTGTTGTGCTGACTCCCCTTACAGTCCAGAATAATATGGGCCATTAAAGAGTCATTTAGTTGATATAATATTATAAAAGTGTTCTATGTTTCCGCTTGTTTTTATTGAAGTTTATTAATTATGTTTTCAGAGTATACCAGTCTATGCTTTCTCAGTTCCAAAGATACTTTTTTTACTTATTATGTATTTTATTTGTTGATTGAAGAGTCTTCTCAGAATTAAGAATAAGAATATTCTTTAATTTATTAATGTAAAATCTTGCTTGATATCCTAATATATATTTTGTGGTTTGTTCCTTTCTGGTTTAGCATGTTTTGTCCGTGTGGTGAAGGATTTACAGAGTGTCATCACCCCTATTCATCCGTGTCGTAAGAACCGACTAAGGGAGAAAACTACGCAAGACAACAGCACTGCAAAGAGAAATAAAACTTAAAACAAACCCTATAGCAACCCGTCTGGGAAGCGTGGTATAGTAGGTCAAAACCTCTTTTCTAAGGAGAGGCCTATGTCCAGTAGTGGACTATTAAAGGCTGTTGATGATGATGATGATACCATGTTCTGGGCAGCATAAAGACCCTCACAGTCCGCCATCTAGTGCCTATTTGGTTAGCACCGACTTCACATAGACTAGAAGGTATCAATTGCTATTATGATGTTACTTTTATACAGACGGCGTACTTATTTTGTTTTTTTAATTATTATTTGGGTCTCTTTATTGGTATTATTTGAATTCCGTTCATTTCTTTTAAAAAGGATTCATATTTTTTTTACAAATAAATATTTATTTAATTCTTTATCTCAAGCATTTGTTAGCAATGTCTGATTATCCTGCAATCAGTAAAGTAACGATAAGAAGTCCTACGATTGAGAAACCTATTTGTTTATTCGTAGTTATGAAATCTATCTCTTTGCTTATTTGGCCGTTAGAATTTTCCTACGTTCACTTTCCGTTAGGTTTCGTTTTAAAGACTAATCAAATTATATACAGCATATCAATTTTATATTTTAATCAAGAAAACCAAAAACAGATTTATTGAAGAATATCTTTGTTTATCTTAATATTATTATCTTAAAACAGTGACTTCTTGTCAGAGTGACCACAATTAATGGTATTAATGGTATTTCTAAAAATCCGTCGGATACTAAATCTATTATTTTTGAATAGCAAAACTTGTAGGAATTCATTCTTAAATTAGAAATCATTCTTAAATTTAATTTAAAAAAAAACAGTTATTTAATTCCCCAAATAATCATTCTAAAATGTGAAAACTTTATCTAATTCAAAAAAAAATATCTGCAAAAAAAAAAAGATAGAAGGTAAGATACCTATTTCATAGATATATCTAGGGTTTTTATTGTTTTTTTAGTATCTTCTAGGGTCTTTTTAGGGTCTTTTATACCCTTTAGTAATAAATTATTCTTGACCATCTATTGTGGAATACATATTTCGTCATTTCGAACAGCTTTGCCGTATCTTCTGACATTCTGGTAGGACTGCTGTTGTCGTATTGATACGTAATTTGCTCATTAAGTTGGTACTACCGGCTGACGTTTGTCATGGTCAGATGTCTTAGTGCGCAAGTCAGTTAATGGTAAAATATTTTGTAACCTGAATTTAAATGCTAATTTGCTTTATGGATTTTCAACGAGATTTTTTTTAACCTTTTTGCAGTATTCTTGTTAGTATTGCTTAGAAATATTACAGTTGTTAGTTTTTTTTCACTGTGATTTCAATAAAAAAGGAGGAGCACTTCATCGTACTTAGTCATAACTAACCTCAATTTAAATGTTGTTATTTTTCCAGAATATTGAAAGCGATTATCGATTCTTTTTCCTACTACTATTTTATCAATATTTAGTAAACAGTGTATTTCTTCCAACTTGGATAACTTAATGGAAACCATAAATGTGATAAAGCTTCGCAGTTGTTTATTTGTTACATATGATTTCAATTTGTCAACTCATTAGGTAGATTACCATCCGTTGTAGGCGCCATAGCCGTATCCACCAAGGACACCAGGGTTCGTGACACCGTTGATGCCGTTCCAGGCACCGTTGTAACCGTTCCAAGCACCGTTGATGCCATTCCAGGCACCGTTTATACCGTTCCAGGCACCGTTGTTGTCAATTCTGGAGACATAGGAGGTGGCAGGGGCGTATGCACCGACTCCGGTGTAGAGAGCTCCAGCTTGGGCTAGGCCGAAAAGGCAGACGGCGAAGGCGAAAATCTGATCGAACAAAAATAACCTCAATAAATAATAAAAGTGAAAAATCGCTTTCTTCGGTCGAAGTTGATAGTCTTAAGACCTTATTCTTCTAGTAATTTATAGTGCAATTTTGTAATAAGTATCGGTAAAATTTCCATTTTTATTTTTAAATTTCAAATTTATAATCTAAGTAACATCATAAATTTTTATAATTAAATAAATTTCAAAAAAATAAATAATAAAATATTAGTTTTACTTACTTTAGCGAACATTTTGTTTGTATTTCTTCGAATGTTGAAGACTTGTATGTTTATGCACTTTTCGTTCTAGGTTTTTATATTAAAACCGTGGGAAATATTTTTTTTTGTTCAAGGATCTTTTGTCTATTTTGAGCGTAATAGCCTAAATCAGAACATAACAAATGGAAATTAAAATATTAATAACCTTTTAGTTACAAACATATAATTTACACTTCCTGTTGTTACCACTTATTGCAATAAAGTTTTTAAAGTAAATGTCAATAATAAGGTTCATTTTGGCCATTTGTTTTCCGATTAAATTGTTCTCTACTTTAAGCTCAATGATGCATGTATCTGATGGGCGTCTACACAGGCATAAATCAAAGGTCTTAAATTCTTTTATCAAAAGCCGTATGAAAAAAAAATGTTCCTTTTTTTAATTACGAGAATCAATGAGCCTGAATGTACTGCCTGTTCTACTAATGATAGACGAAACATGATCTACATCATGTGTTTTGGCCCCCATTTTGTTTGCAAGAAAATTAAATATAGCTTATAATTTGAAAACTATAAAATATTTATAGATCCTAATACACATTGATTCATTGTTTGTTTTAATACGTTTTCTTACAAAGGTTAATAAAGGGTAGTTGAAATAATAAAACGATCCCCTAAACGTAGAAAATGTTTACTAGCTCGTCGTCTAATGACGAAATATTCTCTTATATCATTTCTGTGCAAATATTTGCTATCATAGTTCCGTATGTATACTAGGTATGTTCTTTATTATAAAAGTTATGGTGAATCTCTTCTGAGGCAATGGCTTCTCAAACATCCTGCTTTATTTAAATTTTGAATGATAAATAACTGTTTATTCCATATTCATCGTATTTCTTGATAATAATTTTTATGATCGATGGTAGAAAAGCCACTTCGTAATTTGTGTTTTGCCTTTCCGTCCAAATTATTTTTAGTAGCCGCTCTAGGATTTTCTTTGAAAAAATAGGTAGGTCAGTACTTTGTTATTTCTTAACTTTTGTCTTAATTAGTTTAAATTTTAACTTTATTCTTTCGATCAAAAATAATTGTTGATCGAAGTGTTTTCCCTTTTCTAAGTGAGAGTGCGCTTTGATTAATTTTCTTGCTTTATCATTGATAGATTTCCTTCTTCTATTACTTATTACAGTTATTAGATATTTTTTTAGCTTTTCTCCAAGTTCTCCCTCTTATTTAACTACTCAACTTCAATATTTCGGTGCAAACCACGCTAAAACCCTTAGATCTTCAAGCAACCTGCTTCTTCACTGTCCCACTCACCTCTCTGACTTCGTCCATTCTACTTTCCTGGTAAAATCTATCCTGTTATGGAACGCGCTCCCTCTCGAGGTCAGGACGTCAAAAACTTGTCAAACTTTTAAATACCTGTTGCGGCAACATTTATATAACTCCTCATCCTCCTTATTATGTGGGAATATATATATATATATATATATATATATATATATATATATATATATATATATCTATGTATAATTAATACAATAAATAATAATATATATATTTTATTATATGTATCTATGAGTGTTTAAGTGTATATACATAAATACTTACGTATTGTGTGTGTTAGTATCACTATTACTTATTGTATATATATTATTTAGAAAAAAAAAAATGGAATAAATATAAGTAGTCTGGGTAAATGATAACCTAAAATGATATATTTTTCATTAAATCACATTTCAAATTTCACCACGGCCCAAATAGGAGGGATCCAGGAACAGCTGTTATTAAGACATCCGGACTCCTCCTAAGGCCTGCCCGTAATAGCGCGTCGGCCACCTTCGGGTGGATTCTCCATTTAGGTGACGTCCGGCACACGCGTATGCTGAGCCGAGTCCTCACTGAAATCACTGAATCACAGTGGTAACAGGTGGGTCTCAATTCCCTCGTAGCGTCCGAGTGTATGCACGAGTATATCCCAAAGTAGTCGTGCCCGGCAAGGACGCTGGAAACTTTAGCTTTAGTTTGGAAGGAAAGGGTCTCGTGCTGCTGCCCTGGTCAATCGACGATACCCAGATAGAGCGCCTCTACGGCGACAAGGCCAGTCGAGATGACAGACGAGCCATTGTGGCTCAACGAGCGGCCTCTTCGGGCGGGAGCCGCCTGCCTCTACCCGATATACATCGGCGAGCACTTCCGCCTCTAAATCTCACCGGGGATCTCCGACCAACGTCCACGTCGCCTTCGTCGACACGGTGCGGTAACCAAATATGGTTCTATCCGCCAACGTCCTCTGAGGGCGCCAGAGGCGTGTCCAGTTCTAGGGGGTCAAAGCGCGCCCACACCGGTTCACTGTACGATGGAGATGAAATCAAGAAGGTGGCAGGAAAATGTTGGTCGTGAGCAGCAAGACAATAAGGCAACTAGTGTCTAATCATATTATGTCTTACCTTCTTTAATAATGAAATTTACTTGCTTAATCAATAAGAAATCTTCATAGTAATAAGTATTAACAACATAAAGTGTAAGTTAAAAATTAACTATGAAAAGATTATTAGTATTATTATTTCAATTCGTCTCGCTCTGTTTACGTTACTACGCTCAAAATAGACAAGTGCCTTGAAAAAAAATATATTTCCTACGATTTTAATATAAAAACGTAGAACGATGCAGCATAAACATAGAACTCTTCAACATCCGAAGCAACACAAACAAAATGTTCGCCAAAGTAAGTAAAACAAATGATTAATTCCCGTTTTTTTTTTACAAAATGACACGATCAAATGGAACAAAAATATCCTTAGGATTATCATTTCCAACGGAAGAAAGTGACTCTTCACTTTTATTATTTAATGATATTTTTTTTCTTCCATCAGATTTTCGCCATCGCCGTCTGCCTCTTCGGCCTAGCCAATGCTGGAGCTCTCTATAATGGAGTCGCGAACTACGCTCCTGCTACCTCCTATGTCTCTAGAATAGACAACAACGGTGCCTGGAACGGCATCAACGGTGCCTGGAACGGCATCAACGGTGGCTGGAACGGCGTCAACGGTGCGTGGAACGGCATCAATGGTGCCTGGAACGGTGTCAACGGTGCCTGGAACGGCGTCAACGGTGGCTGGAACGGCGTCAACGGTGGCTGGAACGGCGTCAACGGTGCCTGGAACGGTTACAACCGTCTCGGTGCCTACGGTGGACACGGCGCCTACAACAGATGGTAATCTACCGATTGTTGTGTCACTGTAAATTTATGAGTAAAATATAAACATTTACGAAAATTTATCATACTTATTATTTTCAACAAATTACGCAACCTTTAAAAATAGTTCTATATTTTAGTAAAAATTAATATTAGAATAGTATTATTAGGAAGAATCATCAGCGGCTGTGGTGCTAGGTATGGTGGATACGCCCCTGCCACCTTCTATGTCTCTAGAATTGACAACAACGGAAGGGTTACAATGAACTTGGTTACAACAGCTTTGGTCTTGGCTACAACGGTCTCGTTGCTTAAGGTGGATATGGCTACGGAGCTTACAACAAATGGTAATCCACTAATTTGAGGTTACCAATTTGAAATTATATGTACCTAATTATAGAACATTACGAAAATTTAGCACATTTAATATTTACAACAAAATTATCCAACTTTTAGAAATAGGTTTGCAGATTAATAAAGTTTAATTTAATTGTTAATGGAAGAGGAATTAATTAATTCCCTAAAGGTCTGAAACTGTAAATACAACATATAAATATAAGGTTAGTATAAGTAGGTACAGTTTATGTTTATATTAATTATATATAGATATATATACTAAATATAATAAATATATATATACTGTCCTGTAATGGAACGCTCGATCTCGAATCTCGAGGTCAGGATGGCAAAAACTTAACAAACTTTTAAATAACTGTTGTGGAAACATTTATAAACCTCCTTATCAGATCTACCTTAACTTTTCTACTCTCTCTTCTATTATTTATTATGTGGGAATATATATATAAATAGATATAATATATATATATATATATACATATATATATATATACATATATATATACAGATATATATAATATATTAAATAATGTAATGTATAAAATTCTCGTGTCACGGACTGCGTGGTTGAACTCCTCCGAAACGGCTAGACCGATTTTCGTGAAATTTTGTTCATACCAATATGTTTTTCTTTAGACATTTTTTTTGAAATAATGTATATGGCACAACAGCGTTTGCCGGGTCAGCTAGTATATATATATAATTATATGTATGTATGAGTGTTTAAGTGTATATAAATACTTATGTATTGTGTGTGTTAGTATCATTATTACTTTTTGTATATGTATTATTCAGTAAAAAATATTCTAATGTAATTAATATAAGTACTCTGGGTAAATGATATCCTATTATGCTATATTTTTCATTACATCACATTTCAAATTTCAGTGTATCTACCACGTTCTAGCTCTGCATCGCCCTAAGGTTGACTGACAGAAAATACCTTTGTCACATTTGTGCTTAAAGTATAAATAAAATGAAAAAAGACTAAGTTGGTGATTTCGCCCAATAATATTTTTTTATACATCGCAATTTCAAAATATTTATTTTTTCTTAGATACTTTGGAATATGCGGCTGTGGTTAGTTGATTTCACCCTAATGTCAATTCAACCCGAGAAGCACTTGCATAAACTGTACCTACTTTTTCTAACCTTATATTTATATGTTGTATTTACAGTTTCAGACCTTTAAGGAATTAATTGATTCTTCTTCCCATTACCATTAAATTAAACTTTATTAATCTGCAGACCTATTTCTAAAAGTTGGATAATTTTGTTGGAAATAATAAATGTGCTGAATTTCCGTAATGTTCTGTAATTAGGTACTATAATTCAAATTGGTAACCTCAAATTAGTGGATAACCAATTGTTGTAAGTTCCGTAGCCATATCCACCATAAGCACCAAGACCGTTGTAGCCAAGACCAAGGCTGTTGTAACCAAGTCCATAGTAACCGTTCCAGGCACCGTTGTAGCCATTCCAGGCACCGAGGTTGTCAATTCTAGAGCTATAGAAGGTGGCAGGGGTGTATCCACCATACCTAGCACCATAACCGCTGATGATTCTTTCTAATAATACTGTTATAATATTAATCGTTATTAAAATATAGAACTATTTTTAAAGGATGGGTAATTTGTTGAAAATAATAAAAATGATAAATTTTCGTAATCGTTTATATTTTACTCATAAATTCACATTGACATAACATTCGGTAGATTACCATCTATTGTAGGCGCCATGTCCACCGTAGGCAACGAGACGGTTGTAACCGTTCCAGGCACCGTTGACGCCGTTCCATAAATCAAAGGTCTTAAATTCTTTGATCAAAAGCCGTATGAAAAAAAAGTTCCTTTTTTTAAATTACGAGAATCAATGAACCTGAATGTACTTACTGTTCTTCATTTATTTTATTTCATTTCATTTATTCTTTATTGTACACATTAATATTATATAAGTGATTAAGGAAACTATATCACGGTACTATTATAATACAGTACTCCAACTTCATACAAACGGACGAAACGTGAGCTATACCTACGCGCCTCGATCTCGGGGTGCGCTCGGGGCGCAGACAGTCACGGCTGTACCGCAGTGTCGAACGGACTGTGTGTTGTTTTTTTAACAATAACCGCGCGATATTTTCTCTAAAAATCAGTTAATATGACGAGTAGGAAATATTGTGCTGTTTTTGGTTGTATGAATTCGTCAATAACGCATCCAGACATAAGTTTTTTTAAATTACCTGGAAACTCTGAAAGGTAAGACTATAAAATAATTTTACTTACTAGTAGGTAGGTACATAATGTGTGTCTTTTTAATGGATAAGTATTTCCTTTTATCTCACGAAAAAAAAGGTGTTTGGATGAATAAATAAAGCAAATAGAGTAACGGAAAGTTATTGAGACGAGTGAAATAGGGAGTTATATGCGGTTCTGAATGAATCATGATACGGTAGGTATCTACCTACTTACGCTTGTGTTAAAACTTCGGTGCATGTGTGATTTGTTACTTTGCATAATTCAAAGTAAAGACGTGGTATTTTATTATTAATAATATTGGTTTATTATCTGTGTGTATGAATAATACTAAAAAAAAATTTTTACCGTCTGTGTGTCATTAGACAGTTTTCGAAATTTTCACAAAGTGTTTCTGCTGCTACTATAACAACATATAAAACTAAAAACTGGTTTTATTTTCTCGGTATTAACAACAACAGCTAGAGCTAGGTTGTGATTTTAAAACATTCGTAGTCAGCTGTTCAGCTTTTTAATAATTAATTAATTGGTGACCAAAGAATTTTTGTTTTGAGTAGTTGCGAGTTGTAGGTAGGTACCTAATTTATAGAGACCGAGACCGTTAATAAGCTGAGATAAAAAGTTACTTACTCGTCAGCTGTTTCTTGCATTCTAGTTGAGTAGGTAAGTGTTGGAGTTTCTAAGGATTGGAGTTTTGTAACGCGTAAGGAGAAAGCACATTTATTTTATTTTATAGAAGGATTTTTTTCGGTCGCAAATTTATAAGCCCGATTTGTTTTTCCAACAAAAACATGTTTTTTTAATTAAATCTACCAATCAAAAAACAACACGCATTTTTATTGAACACTTCCTATTCAATATACAAAGTATTTCATTTATTTATATAAAAAAAGGATATTTACAATCACAAATCTAAATAGAAACAGAAAGTAGGCAAATATAATTAAAATGCTGGAGACGGGCAGCCCTTTTTTTTTTTTTTTTTTTTTTTTTTCCGTGCGGAAATCCCCTCGGATACCACCTGTCGGTGGCATGTCGGACTCGAACCGACTAAAACCAACTAATACCCAAATAATAAAACTAATAGCCGGGGAACCAGGTATACCCTAGAAAGGAAGGCCCTGGTGCCCCGACATACCTCGGATCATCTACAGACGAGTAGACGACCCCCGCCCCGTGTGGGAACCCCATGTTCCCTGTGCTCCCTGGAAGCGAGCGCGCTTCGCAACGCGCTCGCCGCCACCCCGGCCTGCTTCTGCTAGGGTGACAGATGGCCTCACCTGTCACCCCCAGGCCTGCGCTTATGGAGGACGGAGGTCGTTCTGCGACCTCCGGCGCCTGAGTCGCCTGCGCTGCCTGGCCCGTGCCCGGGCCTGGCGGGCCGGGAGAGTTCTAAACCTCTCCCGGTCACGCTCCGCCGTCTCCTTCGCGAGCATAACTTGCTCGCAGAAGGAGACGGCAGAGTTCCACGCACTCTCGCTCCGCACGATAGCCGCAATCAGGCTATCGAGCGAGAGAACTCCCACTCCGATGGCCGCCACGAGGTCTCGCCTCTGCTCAACCCACGCCGGGCACTCTGCCAGCGTGTGGAGAGCCGTGTCCACGCTCTGGCCATCGCAGTGGTGGCACTCAGGCGTTGGCTCCTTGCGGATCAGACACAGGTGATCTCCGAAACATCCCTTCCCAGTGATCACCTGCGTCAATCGGTATGAGAGGGTCCCGTGACGCCTCTCGAGCCAATCCTCCATAACGGGTCTTACCGCCGCAATGACGGCGTGCCCAGCGCTCGGTTGCCCGAGTCGTTCCCTCCACTCCCCTATGATGACCTGGCGGAGTTGGGATTTCCGGTCATCGATTTCTCGAATCTCGGGGCATCGACCCAACTCCTGCGCCTCCTTGCGCCACTGATACAGTGCCGCAAGGGCTCTCGCCTCCAGGTCCCACGGTGGAGTTCCGGCCAGGAGACTCGCTGCCTCAAAGGAGATCGTACGGTACCCCCTTATGATCCTGATGGCCAGCATTCGCTGCGGTCGTCGCAATATCGTGACGTTGCTGGCCTTCAGGGGAGACGGGCAGCCCTAACGCATGTTTACGTACCGCGCGGCTGTAGGCATTTATTTCTATCATGCGGCCGAGTTACAGTACTGTATTGTAATTGTACCGTGACTATATGTACAAAGGCGAGCTTAACCCAAAACTGAGTTTTCTACTAATGATTTAGACGAAACATAATCTACATCATGTGTTTTGGTCGCCATTTTGTTTGCAAGAAAATTAAATATAGCTTAAAATTTGAAAACTATAAAATATTTATAGATTCTAATATACATTGATTCATTGTTTGTTTTAATACGTTTTCTCACAAAGGTACTCGTGGGTAATGCCGCCAAGTTATCAATAAAGAGTAGTT